CCTCTCCTCCCCCGTTTTCACACAGGCAAATAGGCTGAGAAGGCAGGTTCTGGGCCCTGTGGTCTCTTGCCTTAGGCTGATCATGAGGAAGGGGTGGAGGCAGGATAAGACCTCAGAGCCCCTGACCCCTCTCCAGTGTTCTGTCCTGTCCCATCAGCAGAGAGGATGGTCGTGCAGGTAGGAAAGAAGCAGATGCCCCCCAGTCATTGTGCTCAGCCCACCTCTGGGTGGGCGAGGGGCAGGCTCTGGGTGTTCATACAATACCCCTGCCCTTTGGAAAACCTTGCTCACCACACTGAGCATGGCTCTGAGACCTCAGGGGCCTGTGGGGTGGAGAAAGGAGGAGGGGTCTGATAGGGGATAGGGATGACTCACAGAGCGGGAACCAAGCCCCAGAGACGGAGACCTTGCTTAGACCTAGCCCCCTGAATCTGTGCAATGCAAACGGAGCCCCCTTGTAGAGCAGGCCATTGAGGGTCTACACCTCCGTGTCAAGAAGTGAGGGGACGCCTCCTCCTTGGGCCAGGATAGGTCCAGCAGGGAGAGCCAAGCATGGCCTGCTGGGGCCTGCACTCACAGAGACCCAGGTTCAAGCACAGGCTCTGGTAGGACACCTCCCCACCAGTCCCCTGTGTCTTCATCTAGAATGGAAGGGGGTGGAGTGGCCTTGATGAGACTGTTCCCCGCACAGCACCCGGGGCACCAGAGCAGCAGGTGCGGGGTTCGGAAAGCAGAGAAAGAGCCCCCATGCTGCTGGAAGTGGGTGGAGGGGAGGAAACGGAGGCTCAGGGAGTTTAGGAGACCTGTTCACAGTTATAGTTATTTGTGCAAGAGCTGGGGTGGGACCTCAGGCCCACTTGGCGGTTCCTGGGCTCTGAGTAGCCTCTCTGTGCAGTAGGATATCAGGGTGTGGTCGGTGGCTCCCTTCAGGTCCAGCTGCTCACTGGCCCCCATCATGTTCCTACCTCTGGGGCCCCAGGCCTGATGGTGCCTGTGTCTGCTCGGGGAGCTGGGTGTGGAACCCCTGAGAGGCTGGGGCCAGGTGATAGATGTAGGGGAGATGACCAGCCAGTCTCGAGCTTGGCTCCTTCCTCCTGTCACCTTGCTTGCTCACTGTAGGGACAAAGGCAGGGTTGGGCAACCCCGTTCCAGGCTCTGCTGATTATTACACTCTCTACTCCTCAATTATCGCTGCTCCAGGCCCATTCCAGAGCGCCCACCTGTTGAGAACATTGGGGGGGCGGTTCCCATCTATCAGGAAAGTCCACAGGTGACCAGGCTGGGCTGATCACTGGCCCCTTGGTCAACAGCTGGGAGGGGCACTCAGTTCAGCTCCTGGGTCCACCACCTGCCCTCCCAGGATCTTAAACTCTTGGTACAGATGGGCCACAGGGACTCACCCCCTACGGCATCAGGGCTGGATGGATGCAGCCATGTGTGGAGGTGCCAGCAGACAGGTGAGAATATGTGTATGGGACACCATGTGCAGTGGGTGTGTGCAGGTGTGTGTGTGTTAACACGTGTGAGGGAAGTGTGCATATGTGGAAGCATCAGCAGAGAAGTGAGAATACGTGTAAGGGACACCATGTGCAGAGAGGAGTGTATATGCTGAGTCTGGGAGCAAGTGTGTGGGTCAGTAACATGACTGACTCTCATTAATGAGCGTGCAGACGTGTAAGGATGTGGCTTAATGTGGATGTGTACATGGCTAAGTTTGTGTTTGAGGGCAAATGGGTGTGAGAGAGTGTGACTGAGTGCAGGGTAAGTGGACATGTCTGTGTATGCACAGGGCTGGCTGGGGAAGGGGGTGCCCCTTCATTACCCAGCACCAGAGCACCCAGGCCGGCAGGGGGGTTGGCCTGTGGCCAGCGGTCGGGACCTGAGCCCCTCAGCTCGAGGCCTGCTTCCTGCTGGGTCTGGAGCGCCATCCTTCCTGCCAAAGGG